ATTTAGGAAGGCTTAAGTGAAGGAGTATATTTAAATATTCCAGCCTGCATGACTGTTTTTAATCACTTAGGAAGACTGATCACTTTGTGGTGACATGGAAGGCTTGAGTAATCTCTCGAAGAGGGAGATTGTTTCATAGTTCTTTCTAACCACAAAGTTTCTTAGTTTTAATATTCAGGACAATAACAAGCAAGATTTCCGAAGGGAAAAGCGTAGTAGGATAATTTTAGCTTGTTGGTTGGCAGGACTGTCCTGCAAGCCAACACCTTTTAAATCTAAGAGAAAAAGTTTTAATCGGGACATTGACATTGGAAGTCAGAAAATATGTTTTATCTTGAGTCATATCCTCAATGTGCAGATTAATGAGAGAATTTGAAGGCTATAGTGATGTAGTATGATGCCATTTATGTTCTGCAGTGAGTCGATGTGACGTGGATAAAAGTAATTTCGTGCATTTTATAAATTCTGTTCGATGACACTGTAACCATTTTACGAATATTGCGTGATTCAATGAGGACATTGACCGGACTGTCCGGGGAGTATGTGACATTCGACCAGAATGTGAAAAATGCAATCTCTGCAGAATTCGAATTTTTAGCAGCGAGCCTTCCGGATTGGTGGTTATTACGAACTAAGAACGTTATTGGAACGATTGGCCAAACGGTGAGGGCTAGAATATTCTGGTATTTTAAAATTTCAAAAATTCGAATTATGACGTCATATTTCTGAGAAACGTCAGAAAAGGCCATTTTGGCTAAAACGAGAAAGAAAAAAAAACAACATTAGCTGCGCTAGCAACAACAACGAAATTGAGATCGGAAAACGACAACGTGTTACAGAGTAACAGAAGAATATTCCGAGTTGCAACTATTGTGCTGCTACAATAGTTGCAAGGCCATTGCGAACAACGGTGAAGGGTGAGAGACGGCCTTCCGGATTAAGAGAAAATCAGGATTAGCGAGCTTGATCCAGCGGATTCATCAATCCGGAAGGGTAAAGGAACTGAAACTTTTATCCTGTTGCATAAACTTTTAGCTTCCTGTCATGTCCTGACTTGAATTTAATTAATATCTGGATTCATTTTGATAGGGATGAGAAACTAGGAGTTGGGGGAAGGGGTTGATCCGTCTTCGATGGAGATGATGATTTTTATCTACTGAACAAAAACAATAGTAATATAATAAATAGTAGTAGCCCTGTTTTTAGGAGTAACCTCGTGGTCTGGGGATACTGAGACCCAGCCATGAGCTCACTATTTCTGCATGTAATCTAGTTAATTTGAGTGTTTTGACCGAAGCCGAAGGCAGTAACGTTTTTGTCGACCCGATGTTAGAAAAGACCACCGAAAAGTACTGGCTTGGTAGAGACGGTGAAAAGCATGCAAAGCTCTGTTTAGACGCTAGCCAGTCGTCTTAAGACTTAGTTTTGTTTTCCGTCGATATGTATCTTCCGGGCGAATGTTACAAAGCTCTGTTTAGACGTTGGCCAGTCGTCTTAGGACTTAGTTTTATTTTCCGTCGATATGTATCTTCCGGGCGATTGTTACATCTTTTGGTGGTCTTTCTATTATCGGGTCGACAAAACGTTACTGCTTTGGGCTTCGGTCAAAACACCCAAATTAACTAGATTACATGAAGAAATAGTGAGCTCATGGCTGGGTCTCAGTATCCCCAGACCACGAGGTCACTCCTAAAAACAGGGCTACTACTATTTATTGAATTATTATTGTTTTTGTTCAGTAGATAAAAATCATCATCTCCATCGACGATGGATCAACCCTTTCCCCCAACTCCTAGCTTCTCATCCTAGCAAAATGAATTCAGATGTTAATTAAATTCAATTCAAGACATAACAGGGAAGCTAAAATTTTGTATAAAATGATATAAGTTCCAGTCCCGAGACCCCTCCGGATCCTGAATTCGGGGAAATAAGACCCTTATCTTCCTTCCGGAAGGCTGTCTTTCACCCTTCACCGTTGTTCGCAACGGCCTTGCAACTATTGTAGCAACACAATAGTTGCAACTCGGAACGGTCACTGCTACTTCTGCAATTTGTTGTTGTTTTCCAATCACAATTCTCGTCGTTATCGCTATCGCAACTAATGTCGTGTTTTATTTCGTTTTTCTGCCAAAATGGTCGTTTCTGACGTTTCTCAGAAATATGACGTCATACTTCGAAAATTTAAAAATTTGAAACACCCGAATATTCTAGCATTCACCGTTTGGCTAATCGTTCCAATAACGCTCTTATTCCTTCAAAACCGCCAATTCGGAAGGTTCGCTGCTAAAAACTCGAAATTGCTGCGTCTGCATTTTGGTCCATTCTGGTCGAATGTCACATAATCTAGTTAATTTGAGTGTTTTGTCCGAAGCCGAAAGCAGTAACGTTTTTGTCGACCCGATGTTAGAAAGACCACCAAAAGAACTGGCTTGGTAGAGACGGTGAAAAGCATGTAGTGCTCTGTTTAGACGTTAGCCAGTCGTCTTAGAACCTAGCTTTATTTTCCGTCGATATGTATCTTCCGGGCGAATGTTACAATCATGAAGTGTTTTGTAGCCGGTTTCAGCACAGTTTTTGTCACTAATTCTTGATTGCAGAAACATTTTGTGAAGAATAAGTCGATAGTACTCTGCCCGTTGTAGCTGGTGTATGTTGGCTCAGTCGGCACGTTAGCGCAAGTGAAATAGAAATTCTGTAGGTGTTGTAACAACTGTTTACCTATATCGCCAGTGTCGGTTCGGCAATTAAAATTGCCTCCCAGTATAACCAAGTGATCAGCTAGACACTGAGCAAGGCGTTACTCCAGATCCATAAAAATGCTATCCAGTGGGATCTTGGGCCTGAAATATGCGATCTTTATAACGAGTTTATATCGGTTCAGCGTGATACCCAGCACAGTCTCTGTGACAACCAGTGTTTTCACTTTGCAATGTATTCTTTCGGTGCGACTTTAGGAAGCTTTTTATTGCGATTTTAGGAAGTTTTTTCCATTTGTCTTAGCATTTTTTCTTTTGTATGAAACGGCAACAATACAATTAAATAAAATGGAGTGGCATAAAGGGGGGACCCTCGAATTACAAAAAGTTCTTTACTACCACTACTGCTACTAGTAAACAATTTAAATAACAAAAAAGGCCCTTCCGTTCAGTTACGGTAAGTGCACAAGCTGGATAGGGCCATACCAGCGTTACAAAAGTGCAAATATATCAGCAAACTGTATCGTTTTATCAATGAAGTCATAAATCAGCATTAAATGCATCGTCGTAATGTTAATTTGGTTGGGTAAGACAGTGCCGAAGTAAGAGAGTGCCGAAAACAAAAATTTGTTAAAGAGTGCCGAAAATTTGTTAAAGAGTGCAGAAACTGACTTATTTGTCGTGAACTAATTGAGAAAAGAAAAGAAAGTTTTGTTTGCTCATCGATTTTGGCGCCAAAATTGAGTCTGAACAAGTTTATTTGTCGTGAACTAATTGAGAAAAGAAAAGAAAAGTTTTGTTTGCTCATCGATTTTGGCGCCAAAATTGAGTCTGAACAAGTTTCAAGTGTCATTATTAATTTTCCCGCCAAAAGCTAGCCTCTTAAATTGCGTTCCAATATTTCCCGCCTTTTTCGGCACTCTCTAACTTCGGCACTGTCTAACGCCCCCCTTCCGTTTAGGTACGGTCGTGCACAAGCTGGATAGGGCCCATACCAGTATTATATAAAAACATTAATAAACAATTATTTCTGGAATTAAGTCAAGTCAGCATTCAATGCGTTGTCACTAAAGGTATTTACTCTGACCGTCCATCCTCTCAAAAAAACTTGAGCTGTAGGGACGGTTGAACTACTACTAATTGTGAGGAAAGTAATGATCGGCAGCTAGTTTTTTTTAAATAGTTTCCAATTTGTATTTTTAAGTATTGTTTCGCAGGCGATGCGAAGCTTCGCCCAGTCTCTGTTCATGAAAGCTCTGATTTCTACATGTTTTGATCCTGGCACACACAGGAGCTTGTTGTCCATTAGGGTCTAGTACAACAAGGCGACGGGACTTCAAGCCGAAATATAAACCTTACAAGCACCTCAAAACACTATTTTTCTCAACTGTAAAATGTTTATTTTCAAAAATTTAGGTAAGTTGAGTTCGATGCATTACTTAGAATGGCATCAGATGGTCAGATTTTGAAATGCATAAATTATACACAAGAAAAACCCCTTCAACAATGTTTTAATTTTCAATATTCCTAAACATCAATTAAGGGCTCAGAATTTATGAAAAACCCAATAACTTGTAAAGAAAGCTCATGAAATTGAGAAATTATTGTTCCGACTTTTGATACGAAAGTAACGGAATAATTGTGCTCGGGGTGGGTTTTTTTTTCTTCAGACAAATTTCGACTTTTTAACTAGCCATTTTTGACGGAATTTTTTTAATCATTCAAAACGTATTGTTGTCCTGAGCTTAAATTTGAAAAGATATTTCACCTGTGATCATTTTTCGTAAAGTTATGAGGGTTTAAAGATTGCCATTTTGGCCAGTTTGACCAATTTAGAAAAATAAATGCGCGATAGAATTTGCGCAATTAACGCGTAAGCGGAGATTTAATCCGTCTTATAAATCGTTCCAAATTGGTTGAACTAAGCTTATTTGCCATAATTGATTTGTTACAAGGAACGAAATCTCTCTTTTTGTACTTTATATGGCGTGTGGGGGGATGATTTTCATAAAAAATTTCAAATTTTAGAAAAAAAAAATTTCGTTTTATTTTATTTAATTTTTTTATGTTATTACTGCTGCTCCATAAACCTTGAAGGCGGTCGGAACATTCAGGGCTTCGCCCTGATACGAGCAGTTTTGTTACAAGTTTCAAATTAATCTCATTTTATCAATTTTTGCCAAAAATTTTGGCTTGAAGTCCCTTGTTTTACGATTCGGCTTGAAGTCCTGCAGGCTTGATGTCCGGCACCCCTTGTCCATTCATATAACCGAAATTTTTAACAAAATTTTTGAATTTTAATTTTTTCAGTTTGAATGCTGGTTTTGCAGAACAATGGATAGCTACGACCTTTTAGCGAATCAGCCTGTAGTCATCGACAATGGTTCAGGGACGATCAAAGCTGGCTTCGCTGGGGACCAGATTCCTAAATGCGTATTCTCGAGTTATGTAGGCAGGGCAAAGCATCCACGAGTAATGATTCAGCCTGGAACTTTAGATGCAGATTTCTTAATTGGACCAAAGGCAGAAGAACATCGAGGGCTATTGACGATTAAATATGCAATGGAACACGGTATAGTTCAAGACTGGAATGACATGGAAAAAATTTGGCAGTACATTTACTCGAAAGAGCAGCTGTCAATTTTTCCCGAAGAGCATCCTGTGTTGCTGACAGAAGCACCTCTGAACCCTAGGAAAAACAGAGAACGTGCTGCAGAGCTTTTCTTTGAATTGTTCAATATTCCTGCACTTTTTGTGTCTATACAAGCAGTACTGAGTCTTTACGCTTCAGGACGCACAACAGGAGTGGTATTGGATTCTGGAGATGGTGTATCACATGCGGTGCCAATATACGAAGGCTTTGCTCTTCCACATTCAATCATGCGATCTGAGGTTGCAGGCAGGGAAGTAACCAAGTACTTGAAGCTATTGCTAATGAAAGAGGGTCACAACTTTGTGTCTTCCGCTGAAAAGGAAATCGTTAAGGATATCAAAGAAAAGACTTGTTATGTGTCATCAAACGCTTCGAAAGAAGAAGTTGACAAACTGACCTATCAACTTCCAGACGGGACATCAATAGACATACATAGTTGCCGTCATCAGGCACCAGAAGCCCTGTTCAGACCGGATCAGATAGGAAGTGAAGCGGATGGTATTCATGAGCTGCTCGGGAACTCGATAGCCAAATCAGATTTAGATTTGCGCAAGACTCTGTACTGTAACATTGTGTTGTCGGGAGGGACTACTTCGTTTCGAGGATTCGGCGACCGATTGTTGAGTGATTTGAGAAAGGTGTCGCCAAAAGATGCAAAAATTAAAATCTCAGCTCCACGTGAAAGGATTTATTCAACATGGATGGGCGGCTCAATTCTTGCATCTCTTGATACATTCAAAAAGATGTGGGTGTCTAAGAAAGAGTACGATGCTGAAGGTCTGAGAGTGATTCACAGGAAGACGTTTTGAATTGAATCAACGCATATTAACGAATGAATCAGACGAAAGAAAAAAATAGGCTTCTAATTGCAAAATAGATTAGTGTTTTGTTGGGTCGCAGCAGCATGGTTGGTTGCTCTAAATGTTAATTGAAAATTTAGGTTGGCAGTCACTCTTTCATAAATTTAGTTTTCGAAGTGCCTCGTTAATTAACTAATGTAATATTTTTCTTAATTTGCTGCTGATCTGACCCGGCCTTAATTCTTTTGAACTTGTCCAATTAATCACATCTTTTTTTTTATTTCAAATGGTGTCAGTTTCAAATGAATTGAAATTATAGAAATGGTTTTTTATTTTAAGTTTTTGTTAGCGTTTCGCAGAGCAAACTTGCAAAGAATTGAACGTCTATTGTTAAACATCACTTTTGAAAGAGACATCTCCAATTTATTGCTTAGCAAATAGGAGGAAAGACTAAGAGGAAATTTTAAAGCCATTTTATATTGTCTTAGTCAGATTTGTACTTAACGGACAAGAGAATTACAAGAAATGTGGGTATATTTCATTCTGCATTAGCCTAACATTCCAACCCTTTCTAGATAGTACGGTGAAAGTGAGATCGATGTGTTGTAGTTGCGATTAAGATAACACACACACTGCTGCAATTTGTTTAATCGAGCTACTGTTGGTTGGCCGAGATCTGAATCTGAATTGAGTTCTGAGACTGAAATGAACAGTCGAGGTGGTACAGCAACAGGATCTGACGCGGAGCCACTATGGCCCATAACCGTGGAAGTAGTGGGACTTCCGGGGTCTGAGAGACAATCGAGGAAAGTGTCCGTGGAAGTCAATGGACATACCCATGTTGGAAACTTGTGCGACATGATATCACGCAAAGCAGGTTCGGTTTTTGTTGTTTCCTCTTTTTTGGAAAAGATAATTTGAATTAAAATTGATCGCGCTATATATAAGTTTTGTAAATTAAAAGGCCTCTTGTTTGATCGGTATCTCATTTAGTTTTTATTTGAAATGATATCATTGATGTTTACACTAGCGATCAGTTAAGTGAATTATTACGAACCTTCTGTTTTTCTAACCTAACTCGCAAATAAAAGTGTTCACTTATTTGGAAATTTCACCGTAGCATTAGACATTGCATAGCATCTGTTCTCTGTTTTATTTGTGGCTTGTGTTTGGCGCCTATTAAGCGTCCGTGACTGAGTGGCTTGTGTGTGCGACTCTTAATCTCTAGGTCGCAGGTTTGAATCTCAGATGTAGCCAATTTTTTTAAAATTAGTTCGAGGCTTATTTCTATTTTTTTCTTATTGCACTTTATAGAGCTGCTTTTTGTCGTGATCTCGCTAGTGTTTGCGAAGCGAAGCTTTGCCTCTGTGTAGGATTATTGAGATTATTTCAGAAACCATTTTCTGCTCTGGAATCTTAATATTTGATTAGCTTGCTGGATTTGTAATAACTGTGTGTTTTTGATAGCATTAATAATCGGTTCTTTTCCACTCCCCACCACATTTCAAATTTTCCGTTTTTATAGTTGTTTTACGTGCCATAGCGGCTACATTCGTGATACTACGATGTGAATCATGAAGACATATCTGTTCACAATTCTTATTTTAATCATCATGCAAAATTTCATTGCATTGTGACAACGTTAAATTAGTTTTTAAAACTTGAATTTCAAATAGGGAGGGGGCAAGTGGAAAAGGAGAAGAGACCAAGAATCCAAATCCAGTGTACGTCTAGAAAAGGTTAAATGCTTGCGTTATCGAGAGGAAGTGCCTTTTAATCGGAAACTAGATTTTTCCCGTAAACGACTTTTCCTAAAGATCTGTAAGAAATTGTACTTGCTTCATTATTGAACCACTACAACTTTCTGGCTCCTTTCCATTTGGTTTAGAGGAAACGCGTTGGAAACTTTTATGGGCAGAAAATAAATTAACTTTTGATTATCTGGTTTTTTGTCAACTTATTTTCCTAGGCTTTATTATTGTAATGGTACTCGTAATTGAGTTTCAGTTTGCTAAAAAATGTTCTATGAAACCCAGTTTTCTCTATAATTTTAGAATTAATTTTTGTTTTTCATTTTTTAATCTTAAGACAAGGTGCCATTGGAACGTTTTAAGGTAGTCCCGATATGAATGGATGGGCGTCATAAAATAAAACTGCTTCCCCTTAATATGGTCTGATTCCAGAATGGCCCAGCTTGGCAAAGTGAAACGTCTCAATTTTGAATACTAATCAGAGTCTTTTTATTTGAGCTCTGAAATTATCGAGGGCCCCTCATTTTTGTCAACAAAATGTGGTATATGGCTTCGACATTTAAGAAATTAAAAGTAATTTATTTCAGATCTACAAATCGATTGGAGCAACTATGCGTTGTGGTGGCCGAAGAACAACGTTTGGCTCCTCAATGGTAGCTTCACCCTGGACAACTGGGAAATCGGAGCCAGAGATGTGCTGGAATATGCACCCAAAGTGTACCCTGCGCAGATTATGTTACCAGACATGCAAGTGTTCCGATTTGAAGTGGACTTCTCGAAAAGGACATTCGACGTAGTCAAGGACATTTGTCGCAAACTATGTAAGTGAAATGCTTTCTGTCATGTTACGTTGACAAGCAGTTGGATATAGTGAAAAAGTAGTATACCAAAAAGAATTATTGTTCATGTTCACAATAGGTTTTTCAGAGGACTTAGTGGTTTGAGTCCCCACCAGAGCTTTTTTCGATATATATTTCATTTTTTCAGCTTTATGATCTTCGTCTCTTATTGCGGCAGCCTTCTTTATCAAATTAATTACACTTGCGATAGAAAGTGTATTGCAACCGGGTACTTTTTCCCCGTAAATAACTTTGTTCACCGAATGGTTAAAAATAGCTATATGAAAATTGACGAATTATTAATTGTCTGCTTATGTTTTGCCGGTTTAGTTGCCACACCGTAAAATAGTTTTTTTTTGCTGTACGCAATTTACATTGTAGTTGCTTTTAGTGTTTTGATTTATATTCTGTTTAAGAGTAATGAGCGTAGTGAAGACTCATGCAGGTCTTGCTGATTTTTTTTTCAGGAAAAAGTCTTAAAATACTCTTAACTACAGATATGCGTTCATACATATTTATGAAATCTCTTAGGTATATATAAAAGAAAGAATAAATTTCTCCGGTCATTCATTACATAAATTTGGCAATTCATCGTTATAAGTAATTATTAAAATGAGAATCGGAGAGGATAGACAACGGGGCCATATGGCACACAAACGCCTACCCTAGCTATGCATGCTTCTTTCACTATCAGGAAAAGATTTTTTTTTAATTGTTTTTTTTTGAATTTGTATATGCACTTTTTGAGTTCAATTGAAATTCATCTGCTGAAAGTTATGCAAAAATCACTCTCCAAATAGGAACGTAGAAATGGCGCAAAAAATGTGAACGATTTCTAGTTTCTAAAGTGGAATTTAATTTCTAAATTTTCCAGCGGAATAAAAACTTCACCTATTGATCGTTTTCTCAAATTGGGTCAATTTTTTTTTTAAAAAAAAGCACCAATAATAAATTGTTCTTGAAGTTGGAAGAGATGTAAGGGCATATATGTTTTTCTCAAAATTAAAAGGTGAAGTTTATTCAAAAAACAAGTCAGTGCTTTTTCTGTTTTTTTTTGTGTTCATTACTCTTTTCCAACTTTCACTTGGCTATGTTTGTAATTTTACTTGCGTTGACTTCGTATATATTTGTTTTTCGCTTAAAAACTTAGGCCTATATTTTATCGGTTTAGTGGCCTAATATTGCGTCGTTTGATGACAGTAGAAATTGTTAATATGCGTTTGTTGATGATTTGAGAAAAAGGGACTCGAACCTTTTTAATTAGTTTTTATCTCTTTTGATTCATTTTTTCGTCTGAAACGGTTTCTGCTGAAGTACTTGTGGCTTTTTTACCACTCGGTAAGTTTTCTTCAGATGTTGATTTCACATTCGGTTGTCTTGACATATTTTTTACCAGCTTTATTCATTTTGATAAGTCACTTTCGGCGAGGGAGACATAATAATTTTTTTGTCTTAAATTTTTCGATTTCGGCTTCTTCCCAGCCTATATTTTGGCTTAGTGGATTCAAATTGTTTCATTCGTCGAGCAAATAAAGTTTTGAATGTGTGTGTCTATTTTGTGGGATCTGTTATGTCTTTAGTGTCTTGTAATTTTTTTTTTCGGCGTAGAGGGTTTCTGCTGAGGTAAATTCGGCTTTATTACAGCTTGGTAAGTTTTCTTACGATGCTAAATTCACATTCTATTGTCTTGGCATGCTTTTTTCAAACTTAGCTTCATTCAAATTTTTCCCGGTTGTATCGCAAATAGTGCGAAGCTCCGCTTCGCTTCTGTTACTCTTGCGATAATCAAGGGTATTGCAACTGAGTACTAGAAGTTTTCCTCAGATTAATTTTTTTTTCAGAACTAATCTCCCCTAACGTTATGTAGAGCAGAAATGTCTTGTCTAACTTTAGTCAAAACAGATATATTTTGAGTATGTTTGCGTTTTAAATAACCGTTGAGTTCGATTTTTTTTTTACAAAAACCGTTTCTCAACTTGAAAGAATTATTCGGCTTGATTGATTTCAGCTTACGCTATAGCAGTTCACTCATCTCATATTGCCTTCTTTGAAATTTAAATTGCAACTTGAAGTCAAAACGGCAACGGAGACTGAAATGTATAACAGTTTAAATTGAACATTCAGCCAAATATATACTTTTGCTATGAAAGAGTTTCATTCTAATGTAGGTTTTCAATCAAATTTTTTTATATCACCCAGAAGGGTATGACATTCCTTTTTCGGCTCAACGAGCGTCTTTTAATTCTGTTAGATTTGTTGCATTATGTAAGTTAATTCTAATTATACGTGGCCAATTGTCTTTCTGGACATACTTTTCTTAAAATGATTTTCAGTGATATGAACATTTATGTAGTTCTAGTTTTTTTCCTTTTTTTAAGACTTATTGACTTGCGTCTCATGCTTGTCATGCTATGTGTCAGAAGCGACCCGTTCCTTTTTGATAATCAGAAAGAAGACCCAATTCTCTATCTTCAATGAGAACTCAGTAACTGCAACTATTTTAGACTGGTATAAAATGCACCATTTATATACGTTCAATTGAAATTCATCTGCAGTGGAATAAAAACTTTACCTGTTGATCCAGTTTTCTCAAGTTGGGTTAATGTTATCAAAACTGCGCTAATCAAAAATCGTTCAACAAATTCAAGGAGCTATAAGGGCATCTGTTTTTTTCTTTGAAATTCGAAAGTTGAGATTTTTTCAACAAAGACAGTGTTTTTTATCTTTAACATGATTTATCGCTACGTGTGGAAGCTCCACTTCGCCGGTGTCTAAATTGTATTCAACATCTGCTTCCAAAAAACGCAAGATTGTTCCATATGCAAATCTCGACAGTATTGTGTTGTTTTGACCTTGCTAAATAAAATGTTTCTTGCATTCAAAGTTTGGATTGTCTCTTTATCTCGAACTCATTTAAGAAGTCGACACGAGGTGAACATTTAAGACGTAGAAATTGCTACCCATGTTTCGTTTCAGTCATCAGAAGAAGCGAGGAGTTGTCTCTGTACAGATATAGAGTGGCACAGACAGAGAAGGAGAGGAAACAGCAGGATGATGCCTCTCCCCTCCCCCTCAACTCCACGCTATCCACCTTCCACAACTCAACTCCTCTCCAATTCAACTGCCCCACCATAGACGAGTTCATACGCCGTAAGTTGGAGTTGGTCTTGTTTGCAATGCGATCTAGTTGCTAGTTTTGTGTTTGTGTTTTTGCCTGCTCGACGCATCCTAACTTAATCGTAATTAAAGGAAACCAAGAGAGTAGTATCATGTCATGCCAAAATTAAGTCGCTACGATTGCGATTGCGTGGTCAAAGCTGCATCAAGTTCACAGGTTCATTATAGATTGATTTGTATTTGTCCCTCAAATAGTTTTTATGGCCTCTCTGATACCGTGTGCAAATAATACGATTATAAATGGTGTTTTATGACTTCAGAAAAGGGCGTGGTTCCTTTGGAGAAGACGCCAGTGCCACTCCCAGACAGTAGTCACTTAGCGTTGTTGCCTTGCACCCGAAAAGTAGTCGACAAAGTCAAATACTCTTCAGGGTAAGATTAATGTCTAATTCATTATGTAAGTAGCGTTTTTTGTTTGAATTGCAACGGATTTTAGATCACATTTTAGAGCGAAGAAATTGAGCTATCGTGTACTTAGTTCGGAAATTTTATCTGCCAATCAGTTTCTGCAAATTAATGAAATTGCCAAAAACGCGCCATTGCGCTCAAAAGGGGAATTGAATTTCTTTTTGTTCATTGATCTGGTCAATTAAATTATCCCGCCAATTCTGAGCGGACTCTGTCCAGGAATTACTTGGGTATTTTGTATTGCTTTGCCACCTGGATCTTTTTCTTGTTCGAACTTTTTTCATGTTCTGGATAGCTTATTGTTTCAGTTGGTTGACGTCGGCAATATCTCTCATGCAGCAGGAGGTGCGCAGTGGAGATCTGCTGATGCTGCGCTTTAAGTACTCCACGAACTTAGACCTGGACCTGAGGAAAGACTCAGTGCGCATCAACCAGCTCTATGAACAGACCAGACTGGCCATTCTCAATGACGACAGCGAACTCACTGTGGAGGAGGCGGTTGTTCTGGCTGGGATCATGTATCAAGTCGACTCACAGGTAGACAATCATATGGTTCATTTGGATCAACTCAATTTTAATACAAATCAGTCAGAACTCTGAAGAAATTTGGAAAGCTAGAATTTGTTAAATCATGCTTCGTCAAATCATGCGCTGTCAAAAAAGGTCTGCACACATTTCCTCCCTCTTAAATTCAGTGGCACATTTCGCCCCTCACTAGTTTCGGCTCTAATATATTACCCACAAAATGCCGTAATAAGTGTGAGTCGAAATGTGCCACTAAGTTTTAGAGGGGTGAAACGTGCCTTGATTCGTCTTAAAAGTATTAGGTTGTTTTATCAGTTCATGAACAGAAATTTTCAAGTTTTTTACAGACATCAGTGCCCCAATTGAGTGAAATGTCGACTGGACGAAATGGTGCGCAGGGGGGATCCATGAATGCAGGTGACATGGGTGACGGAGGAGTACACGAGACAGATATTGAATCAGAATTGAATGATCTCCAGCTGGAGTTAGAGGGAGCTAATAACAACAGTGCCTCTGCCACCAAACCCTCTTTGACAAGAGAACCCATGTTGCAGAATATAGTGAAAGTCTCCAGGTATAATGAAAAACATATCCTAAACGAAGTGAAAATTAAACTTGACAGTTATCACTGAGGTAGATCTCGGAATGTGATACTGTTTAGGATACTGTTTTACTATTAGTTTTAGCAGCTTTCTTAGATTATAGTCTAAACTTTCTGCTCTGGCTGGGGTTTTTTTTTCAAGTTAAACAACCACGAGGCTAAGCATTAAAGCTAAATAAATTTATGGCTTACATTCAAGAACCACCGTTTGAGTAATTGTGTGATTTCTATCCTGAATATATGCGAAGTCAAGAAGTAGAAATGGGCGTTTGTTTTTGTGTGTAACAGAAAGAAGGACTCTAAGCTGGCGACTATTGGCAAGTCCAAGTTGTTCTCCTGTACCCTGCACAGATTCAAACTGACCATCTTCGACAGGAGTGTGGAGGAAACAGGACCCACTCAAGAAAAAATGCTCAATCAGCTCAACGTCAAAGGTTACTACGCCCCCATATATGAAGAGTTATGGGCCGAAAGTATCAATGAGTAAAATGAAGCTTGCATTTAAATGTCGATAGCAGGAACGGATGTTTTGTAGCATTGAATGAAGAGATAATCGATGAAATGCGCTTTTCTCTTTTAAAAAGTCATTTTTATCTTGCGCAGCCATAGTTATTTCTTACATGTTCAATGAAAACCTGTTTTTATTTATTTTGAGTGATTTGCAGGCTGTGAGGTTGCTCAAATAGGAGAGGGTTCCAAGTTCAAGTTGAAATTAAACGTGGACACGGGGTCCGGCATGGAGGAATATCATCTAACCGTAGACGATGTAAGTTCAAAGTGCAGTAAGTTCATAATTCCTTTCAAAAGTGGATATAGAGTGGATAAAAGGCGCGATTTTACTTGTTAGATTCGAAATAATTCCCATAGATGTCTTAAAACTTTTTGAGTGAGCTCTTCAAAACCCGTCAATCCTGAAAATGTTCACAATTTATTTCTTGACCTCTCGAAGAAACTCTAGATTCTCTACTGAGTCAAATAAAAACCTAAGTTTCTATTATTCAGTAAGCTGCAAAACAGATAGAAGAAATTATTGTAACAACTTGTACGCTGCCAGTCCCACTACCGTATTCAGTGTATATTCAGTGGCAGCTGCAGAACAGTTCTCAATATCGTAAATTGAGTTAATATCTTCTGTTTAATTTCCTAGGTTAATACCTACGCAAAATGGTACGTGGCTCTCCAACTAGCAGGTCGAGGTCATACAATGGCAGACGGCAGCTTCGAAAGCCAACTGCGAGACACCAGAGAGATGCTGCAGTACAGATCGGGTGGTGGGGATGCTTCCTCCGCTGCAGGCCTGTCGGCACCTTCCACCCCCAAGAGGAACGGCGTGGCGTCGAACGGAACGCCGAAGCATGCGGACTCATCATTATTGGAAACGATTCAAGTAGAGTTGTATCTCAGCCCCAGATTTGCAAAGAAGTTCAAGAAAGATGTAAGGCAATTTCTATTTAAACGCATTGTGGTTCAATTGAGGCTGGAAGTTTGGTTCTAAATCAAGGTTAGCTATTGTAAGATAGCAATAGTTTAGTTAGTTTTACAAAATTATCCTCCAGGTTTAGAGTTGTGGCTGTTTAACTAGAAGAATAGTTTTCTGAAATCTAAATGAATTTTGGATATGACGAATTTTTACACTTGCGATATAAGAGTTATATTATCGAGAATTAGATTTTTCCCTTCTCGCAAATGTTTTTGCTTGTGTACGCGAAGTGCAACTTCGACTCTGTGTAAAAGGAAGGCGAACCCCACTATTGAACAGTAAAAATATAAAGGTCACGAAAAACGTGATCGACTACTTATTTTGAAAATGGAATTTGATCATCAGATTTCCTATCAAAATGAAAATTACCCATTGATCCAGTTTTCTCAAATTGGGTTAATTTCATCAAAAAAGCACTAATCGTTAATTGTTCGCGAAACTCAAAGAGCTCTGAGGGGATATGTTGTTTCTTTACAGTTCGAAAGTTGAAGTTTTTTCAAAAAAACAAGTCAATTTTTTTTCTGTTTCCTTGAGTTAATTACTCTTTTCCAACTGTCAGTTGGCTATGTTTTGAATTGCATTTCTGTACATAGTTTGATTTTATGTTTTCCAATTGATTACATGCAAAAATAGTGTGGATGACTTTAATTTTTCTATTTCAAATTGTCACATTCAAAATATGTCTATTTTATTTGGTGAAACTTTTTGCTGCACACCATGGGCAATTTATTAGCATAATTAGCTGCTTTACTTTGGTGGCTAATGTTGGTACCTTTTCAAGCAAACATGGCGCAGATGTGGGCACATCTGCCCCACAAACTCGAAGTCGGGTTTTCGATTTTAGCATATAGCAGAAGTTTTGTGTTTCATGGCTTATTTGAACCGTTTTTCTTTATATCACGTTTTTAGGCATTAAGGCAGTGAAGACCTTTACATAGGTCTTGATGATTTGTTTGGAATTGTTTTTGGAAAAACTTTTGAATATTGCTGGCCGTCAATTATTTTTTTTGCGGTTTGACCTTCGGTTTTTTTTTTTTTAATTCAATTCATTTCTTTAGCATTTGGGTTCATTTTGCAAGTCCAATACTATCATAACATTAACTTGATGCAAATGAATTTGAATATTGCCTCAGATACTTCACACGACATTTCTTTGGGATCACATGCTTAGAATACGATGTATGGATATGTTTATGATTCCAGGCGGCTTCCCAGGTGGTGAAGGGCAGTGGTCAGGTGGCAGGCATGGGGTACATAGAGGCGAAGAAGCAGCTGATCTCCAGATGGAATGACGTCAAACTATCCGACACACAGTTCTTCCTCTGCTCCGTCAGACGAGGCATGAAGCCAGTGGTGAGTAGTGATGTCACATGTTGATACAACAAAAAATATGGTCAATATAGATCTAGTTGTACATTGCTTGACTCAAATGATGCAAGTCTGTTGTTAGATTCCCTCTGTGGATTTTTTTCGAAGATGGTTTTGTAAAGCCTGCCATTTTTCCCATAGTTGTTTAATGTATTCTTCGAAGCGTTATGCGGTTAGATTGACCTTAAAAAAAATAAAATTGAAAACAGTTAACAGTGAGGTAAGTCGCCTATTCTTTAAATTACCAAAAGTTCTAAATATGTACGGTACATTCACAATATTGTTCTTGATTGCTGAAATTATTAAATAACGCTCTTAAATGCAGGGAATGATAGTAGCAAAAAGTTAGCCATCTCATTCTACGGTACCACTTTTATGGAGCATATACTGGATACTAGATAAATTGGATATTGCTGATGCATGATACTTGTTTAGTTGCAATAAACCTATTTAATTTTTATCAAATTGGATTAATTTTATGAAACGATTGCCACCCAATTTGGAAGAGCTTTAACGCGATGTTTTTCTTCGAAATTCAAAAAATTCGGTTTCTCAAGTTTAATGAAAATTTTCCAAACTTTTTGTTGGCTATGATCAAATGATGTCAACTATGAAAAAAAATTGTAAAAAAATGCTTTATGGTGATATATAATTTTTTGAAAATTCTCCAAAAATTAAATCATTTTTTCCGGTCTCATTGAGTTCATTGACACTATTCTAATTGTCTGTTGGCTATGTTTGAATTAAATTTTCAGATATTTCTTGAAGCTTGAGTGAATTCGGGAGCTCTCAATGGTGTAATATTTTCTCATTAGCAGAAATAATATCCGCTCGCGTTTCAATGTGTTTATGATCTGAAACGAAACTTTGTATATTTGTGTTCAAAGCAGAAAGAAACATGAGACTAAACACATAGATCAAATCGTTTCGAAGGGCTCGTGTGGCTTTGTAGAACCTACTTTGTGTTCGAGTTTGTTTATCTATTGGGTTATGTTTTATGTCAGCGCTCTTGAGGCAAAGCAGAGCCCAATCAGCCATTTGAGTTAAAGTGTGTTTGCCTTTGTCATGTAGTACTTAATTTTACCTTCAGTCAAACAGTTTAATTTTATAATCAAACATGGTTTAACTAAGTTGCGATAAAAATGTGTGTAAATGTCTGGACCTCTACGCCAGACAAATATAACATAGCCAAGTGCAGGTTATGCTTAGACTTTTTTATTTTCTCATTAGTTTTTTTTCGCCTACAGTTATCGCAAAGTTGCAAGAAAAAATTAGTTTAGGTCCCTTCGGGGAGTCTATTGATTTGTATAGGAAGTCGCGCTAGCAGCTTAAGCGTTGATGACACTTGCGACCTGAGTGCATTGCGGTTACTTTTAGCAGTTTTATCAACGGTAATTTTCTAAAACTCATAGTTGTCATGGTCACTTTTCTACTGATTTTCACTCAAGCGGAGCGTAGTGCGATAGTACGATGCAGTTTTTTTTTCAACTTAAGTCGCAAAAAGTACTTCTTGTTGTGGTACTTCTGCCAATGTGGAAGAGTTACTTAATGGGGCACTTGGGAAGCAGCAGGCAGTATAATACTACATGGTTTGACCTTTGTTTGTTCAAAATTTAACACATTTGATGCTTTTTTAATTCATCAACTGAACCGAAAAAAGTTATTTGTTTTTTTTTTGTTACAGTATAATAATTTACTTTTCCGAAGCAAGTGCCTTGTAATCGGGAAATATTCTTTTTTCCCGCAAAAATTTTTCTTACTAATTCGCAACTTATATATTTTAACACTATCGAGCTTTAGCGAGCGTAATGTAAATTTACTACTTCATTTTTTCTAACTTAAGTCGTCAATATTGGTCTTACTTTTGGGCACCTTTAGAGCTTTTTGATAGCATGTGCTGTTTTTCGATTGGAAATAATTTTCTTCGCAATTGAGCATTTTTTGAAATTCATAATTTATACATAATTTGGCGTCATGCTTTCCAATTATAACATGCAAAGTTAGCATTGATGCCTTCAGCTTGTTAAGTTCCAAATTATTATTTGCAAAAGGTTTCTTTGCACTTGGTCTAGAGGTAACGGCGTCGCCTGTACATTCAAACGTCTGGGGTTCGGGTCTCTGTCGGACCTTGTTTTTTCTCGGTATGTATGCAAATGAAATTTTTCTCCAGTAAAAATTCATTTGCGGGACTTTCGTTTTTCTGCTTAAGTTTTTCTGTTTTGATTGCCACATAAAATATTTATTTCTGTTCTGTGAGCAACTTTCATTGTATTTGCAAGTGGTGTTTATTGTAGTTTCAGGAGGGAATTAAACGATTTTTTTTAAAATATTTTTTGGGGCAACTTGTGTTTGCTCAAGTAGTGTCGGATGTGTTGTCTCTTGGTTAGTTTTGTTCCGTTCCTGATTTATTATTCAAATATCGGCATGTTTGCCTAGAATGAACTTCTATTGCTTCATACGATTTTTTAATTTTAAAACCTGTTTTTTTTCAATATTTTGCAATTTTTTTTTGAAAAACTGTTTCAAATGTTTGTGTTATATCGCAAGTGGGGAGAAGCTCCTTTTCGCCTCCGTGTTAAAATTCGCTTTTTAATCCGTGTTAAAAAGCAATTTGGTTCTAACCACAGCATCATAATAAAATTATGATTTGAAGAAATTTTCCGACTCAACATATCTCGCAATGTTTTTGAAATGCAAAGTTTTTACGCTTGTGACTAGCAGCAAGCGTTATCAAATGGGAATATGGACTTTTTATAACAAATCATGCTTTCAAAATTATTTAATCCAAAGTTAGTGTGGAGGCCTTCAGCTTGTTATATACCAAATTATTACAGTACAAAGTTTTTTGTAGTTGTATTTTGCTACATCGAATTGACAATTTATTCGCATATGTAGCTGCTTTATTTGTGAACAATGTCGATATTTAGATAACTAGTAGATATTTAGCGTTCGTGGCCGAGAGGGTAGGGCGTGGGACTCCAAATCTGGAGGTCGCAGGTTTGAATCCGCTGCGTGCTCGTTTTATTGCTAATGTTTGCGAATCGCAGCTTTGCCTCTGCGTAGATAATAAATTTCCAAGTTTTTACATGCAAAATTTGTGTTTTTTTTTTGAAATTTGAAGCTCCTTTGACCCTTGTCTTTGGTTTCTATAAAGGTGATTTGTAAAACTGTGTAGGGTAGTCATGTGGAATACATGAATAGCCGAAGACTGAGGATTGGTTCACGTAGAGATCTTTTGATTCGAACCTTTTGATTCGAAATTTGTCTTTTTCGACCCTAATTGAGCTATTTGGCGTTTTCTCGCTTGATTTTGCGTAGCGCAGATTGGCCTCTGTCTAATAGATGGTAATTTTTCCCGTGTAAGAGCTGATTAATTTGGTTAATAGTCATTGAATGTAGCAGTGGCTCTTATATGGGGTCTTTTTGTTTTTGTTTATTTTTTCAGGAAAAGACTGAAATTTTGTTCATGCTCAAACTTCATTTTCCGCGGTTTAACGTTTGATTTCTTTTTAAGTTCAGGTTTTTTCCTTTGTTAAAAAGGAAGACAAACTCCACTATCGAACAGCAAAAGTGTATAAGTTACGATAAACATGACCGATGACCGACTTGTAGTTTCGAAAGTGGATTTTAATTTTAAGATTTCCTAGTGGAATAAAATGGTCATCTATGGATCTAGTGTTCTCAAACTATCCTTGAAATTCAAAGAGCTGAAAGAGCATATGTTTTTTTTTGAAATTAAAAACTTGGAGTTTTTCGAAAAATATGTTTTTTTTTTTCTGTTTCCTTGTTTTCATTATTATTTTAGGTAGCTTGAATTATAATCTAATAATAAGTGTTTTAATAATTTTTTTAGCTGAGCAAGCATTCTTCTCTTGTCGCTATGATATCTGGCTCATTTTTTGGCACATTGGAGGTGCTATGCGATGTGGGAGTTACTAGTTTGGTAATATTCATCGACAAAAAAAGTTCTCAAGCTTTAAATTGTTAGCTGTCAATGAACTAAGTGAATTTTTTGATGCCTAGTTGTTTTTTCGATTTTATTTTCCGAGACTTGGCTTTCCACTTGTTTAAGTTTCATGAACGTAGTAAAGATACTTAAATAAGTCTTGTTGGTTTGTTTTTTTTTCGCAAGACAGTTTTATAAGGACTATTGTATAGGATTAAAGTGTGTAAACGACCAGTCTAACTGTATGTTATTTGTTTTGTTCAGGAAAAAGGCATCATTGGAGTGTGTAGAGACAAGCTGATTCAGATGGACTTGAAGGGACAGGACATAGTGCAGACGTACAGATACTCCAGCATGGCTACCTGGACAAGTAAGCAGGCAACAAATTAACCAATATGCCGTTGAACTTTGCGCAAACAATAAAAATGATCAGTAGGTACACGTTTAAAGGTTTTTTTAGCGGGAAGTAAGCACCTAGCAGGCAGGTAATTAAAGTGCATTCAGACGTATTACTGAGGGGGACTTCTTGTGTGTTTTAGTCAACTGGCACAAGAATGAGTTGCTGATTAAACTGTCAGACATGGAGTTGTCTCTAGCCAGCGTGGAGTGCAAGATCACCGTTCTACACGAGTACCTCGGAGGGTAAGGGATTTGAGTTAAATAATCATTAGGATGTCGTATTCACTTGGAACGGTTCGGCTCCCTGGCGTTGCGTTGTCCACCAGAAAACCTTTAACTTAGCGAATACTGTTTAGCCATAGAATTTTATGATCTCAAAGACTTTATCAATAATAATTCATCTCGGAGTGCTATTGTTTACCCGGGATCTTTTAATGAGTTGTTGTTGTTGTTGTAGCTACATGGATCTCTGCTTCGAATTTCTGATCGGTTGTGTAGAGTTAGAGAATTCTCGTTTGTAATTGGTATTCGTTTTGTCGATCTATCACTGCAGTTCCCTAAGGTCTCTAGCGGCAAAACCGACGTAGAGCGGGAACCTGTTCCAGTGATAGCGTCTTTGTGCTACTCGACACCTCTCTGTATAGCACGCTCAAGAGAGAGGTTTGATGTGGTGGAAATATGCACGTTTTTAGTTAGTGAGGCAGTTTTTAGTTAGTGAGGAGAACCGAGAACAACTCCTGTTATGTGAGGTTATGTGTTAAACTGCAGATGTTTGGAAGCTTCTTCGGGCTTCTTCCACAATCTCTCGATGATAAGGGAGGTTGGGTGTACCCGGCAATTGAAGAGATATTCGGTGGTCCTGTGAAACATCTTATGCAGACGACGGTACATAGTTGATTAGTCTTTGAAGGTAACTATTTAAATAAGTCGAGTATCCGGATCTAAGTAGTGAGATTGTACATCTGGTTTTCCGGTCAAGTTTATTTTCGTTTGCAGATAATAGCGGGGGCATTCTTCCAAGTACGTTAGGTTTTCCTTCTCTGTAAAATTTCTGTACTTTGGTTTTCGATAAGCAAGTTGGTAGTTCAAGAATTTTTCAATCTTTGTTTTTCAATGATTGCTTGAACTTAAGATCAGCTTAGTGTATTATTACGAACCTTGTTTTTTCCAAACTCACTCGCAAATAAGTGTTTTTTAAAGTGTTCACCTATTTGGAAAATACACTGTAGCATTGGAAACTCCATAGCATCTGTTCTCTTCATTATTTCTGGCTAGTGGTTGGTGCATATGAAGCTTCTGCAGCTAAGTGGCTAGTGTGCGAGACTAAAGCTCTAGGTCGCAGGTTCGAAAATCAAAGGGAGCCAATTGTTTTTACTACTTCGAGGCTTAATTCTGATTTTTTTGCCCGGCAGAAACTGCTCAGAGAGCATTTCATTTTGTTTTCTAATCGGAAGTTTTTTTAAAAATTTCGTCGTGTAGGTGTAGGATGTCACTCATTTGTAAGCACCCTGTTGTTCTAAGTACTTTGTTCTGTTTGATTTGGAGGCGCTGCCAGTTAGTGTAACTTATAGTGGGGTTCCTAATGGGAGCTGCATAGTTCAAGCAACTCCTCCCAGTTGCCGTGTAAGTTGCATTGAGTGTTTCTTCGGAGCAACCTCAGTTTGTACCAGTAAGTTTTTTTACATAAGCAATATTGTTTCTTTTTTCAAATTGTGGCAGATATTATTGCAGTGTTCATTAAAGTGCAGTTGGTTGTCAAAAGTAACTCCTAGAATTTATGGATTGTGTGTTGTCGGGTAGTTTGGTGTCCTCGACCATTACATTTTGTTCGACAGAGAACTCATTATTCCATGTTGAAAAGTAGATGTTGATCTGTTTTCTTTTCAGGGGCCAGCTTTTTTGGCAAGCGGAGAACGAAGTGAAATTCTATGCCCGTTTTAAGCGTACAGTTTTTAGATAGTGGGGAGAACCGAGAAACTTTCCTGTTATGTGAGGTTATGCGTTAAGCTGCTGATGTTAGGAAGCTTCTTCGGGATTCTCTCACAATCTCGATGCTACGGGAGGTTGGGTGTACCCGGCAAATGAAGAGATCTATTCAGCTTGTTCCATTCCTCTCCGGTTTATTAGAATGAGAACTAGAAGCCAAGCCAGTAACAAGAAAATGAGCAGATATGATGGTTTTGGCTGCTCGGTTGATAAAACACGTGTTTGTTTTTTTTTTCTTTTTTTTCTCTTTTTTTATCTCGTTTTTTTTCTTCGTCTAGTTTTTCCCATCCTCTCTATCTCTCAAAACACTTTATCTCCTTTTTTCTCCCTTTGTTTCTAGGCACGAGACCGATGTAGAGTGAATGAATTTTGGTAGCCTGTTAGATGAGAGTTAGTGGTCCAGCCGCGTAGAGGTTCATTCTTAAATCGTTTTTTAGTAATAATCATAATATTAATAATAATAATCATAATCATAATCATAATAAGAATCATAATAGTAATAAATTTAATAATAATAATAATCATAATGTCAATAATAATAATAATCATAACCATAATCATCATAATCATAATAATAATAATAATAATCATAATAATAATCATAATAATAATCATAATAATAATCATAATAATAATAATAATAATAGTAATAATAATAATAATAATAATAATAATAATAATAATAATAATAATAATAATCATAATAATCGTAATAATAATAATCATAATAATCAATCATAATAATAATAATAATAATTATAATAATAATAATAATAATAATAATAGTAATAATAATAATAATCAGAATCAGAATCATAATAATAATAATCGTTTTAATAATAATCATAGTAGTAGTAGTATTAATCATACTAATAATATTAATAACAATAATGTTAATATTAATAATAATCAGAATAATAATCATAATAATGATATTAATAATCATAATAATAATCATAATAATATTAATAAGAATGATAATCATCATAATCATCATAATAATCATCATAATATTCATAATCATAATAATAATCATAATCATAATGATAGAATGTTTTCATATTAGAGTTTATTCAATAGACTTGTGTCAATATACCTCTATTATATATTTAAGTGCGGGCTTCACTATCTCGCCATGTTTAAGCTTTTACAACGTATTATTTTTGCATGCTTAAGCTATATCGTATATTGCAATGGTTAAGAATTTTTTTTCGAAATGCCAATTTGATTTTAGTGGTTATTTTACCGAGTTTAAGTTAAGCAGCCCAATATTGAAATAGGGGTTGCGAATTTGGCCTCCAATTTTGAATGCCCGAATCATTTTAGCTAACGAGATAAGACGATTTTTGAGATTTTTTCAAAAATTTTCAGAATTTTCAAATATAATTTACAAAACTTGAAATTCCCAACCTTGTAGTTGGATGCTGTCAGAATAATCTAAGGAGTTAAAAATCTTGCCTCCAAATATGACTGTTCAAGTCCTTGTTGTTTTCGAGATATGACGTTTTTTGTGATTTTTTCAAAAATTTTCAGAAAACATATAATTTTTTTTTCGCAAAATCTGAGATTCCCAACCCTGTTGTTGGGTCCTCTCAGAGTTATCTCAAAATTGCGAATCTTGCCTCCAAATATGACTGCTCAAATCCTTGCAGTTTTCGAGATATGATGTTTTTTGTGATTTTTTCAAAAATTTTCAGAAAATTTTAATTAATGGTTTCTCGAATTTTGAAATTCCCAACCGTGTAGTTTGATGCTGCCAGAGTACTCTAAGGAGTAACAAATCTTGCCTCCAAATATGACTCTTCAAATCCTTGTAGTTTTCGAGATATGACGTTTTTTGTGATTTTTTCAAAAGAAATTTCAGAAAACTTAAATTTATTTTTATCGCAAATATTGAAAATCCCAACCCTGTAGTTGGGTCATGTCAGAGTGCTCTCAAAGATTGCGAATCTTGCCTCCAAATATGACTGCTCAATTCTTTGTTGTTTTTGCCGTTTTTTGTGATTTTTTCAAAAATTTTCAGAAAGTTTAAATTAATTTTTTTTCAAAATTTGAAATTCCCAACGTTATAGTTCGGTGTTGTCAGGATACTCTAAAGAGTTGCAAATCTTGCCACATGCGACTGCTTACCTTACTTCTCAAATGCTTTTAGTTTCCGAGATGTGACGTTTTATGGTTTTTTCAAAATTTCTCAAAGAACCTATCTACAAAGACATTCAAAAAATTTGAAACTACTAACTTGATGAAGATACAACCTTATTGCCAGCGTACACGCAGGCGTCTCAAATCTTGTCTCTTAATATGAATGCTCAACTTTTTTAGTTTCGGAGATAAGACGGTTTTTTCAATTTTTTTTTCGGGAAACTTAGGTTTAAAAAAATTCACAAAATTTTGAATTCCTAACCCTATAGTAGGGTGCTCTCAGGGACTCTCAGTGGTTGCAAATCTGGCCTCCAAATTTCTCCAGGGGCCCATTGAGTTTTCGAGACGACGCTTTTAAAATGGGAATTAAAAAAATAAAACTCGAAATTACGAACAATGTAATTGGGTGCAGTCAGAGTACACTAAAAGTTTGCAGATGTTGTTTCCAATAATGCGGTTTTTCATGAGTTGTCGAAAAATTTCGAAGCACCGGAGGTGCGTTAAATGCTAGTAATTCTGATATGGATATGCAATACATAAAAAGGCCCGATGGGCCTTGTAAAGTGATGCCTTAATTAAGCAGTGCAGCTTCTGTTAAGTACTAAGAAGTTACAATTCTAAGGTAATAGAAGGGTTGTCCAAACCCTAGTACCTCATTTTTAGAAGAAAAAAAGATCTACTTTTCTTCATTATTTATGATGTATTAATCTCGAAAATCATTGAAAAAAAATTTTATAATCGACTATCATTAAGATTGCTGACTGTATCAGCGAACTGCAAAAAAATTCGAATTAAATTGAATAGTTTTCTAATCCGTACGCACCTATTTTTTTTTGACTTTTACCAATGAAATTGTCGCTGATAATTTTTTTACTCTAATGTTTCACTATCTCAATCTTTGAGTCCAAAATTGAGTTTTTAGGAATTAAATTTTCAAATCTTCACGTGAAATCTAAACAAAAGTTTTGAATAGCTCTTATATGTGCAATTCTTTCACTGAGAATATCTTGTAGGTTTCTTTAAAATATGTGACTGGCTGATATCTCCGTTTTTAAAAAAAAATATTCTCCGAGTTTGGTTTTCATTTCAAGTTTTTGTAGTGATGTTTTATTAGCTGTGCCGTACTCTACAACCCCATTTTGCAGTATTGGTTGAATGTGACTGAATTAGGTTTTAATTAATTGTGCTGTTGGTTTAGTACGTCACTTAATCGGTACAGTGGGTTTATCGTGGAGCATCGGGTTCAATTGACAATTTACTTGCCCCGTTTCCCACCTTCACACAATTTTAAATCGCAAAACGTTCTCCAATGATCCTTCATTTGATGATACAAAGACAATGAAACTGTTTGTAATAATAAGATTTTTTCGGGTTGTCGTTTCATTGAGAGGTTCTCTGTTTAGATACCAATTCATGGCCACTAGGTCCCCAGACCAGACAGATGTGGACGCGGAGATGTTCTACAAACTGACTTACGGGATGAAATCAGAGGAGGAGAAGATCGAGGAGCTGCAAAAGAGAGACAACAAACACGCAGGACTAATAACGCACTCAGTGCCTGGATTCTAGACTCACCAGGAACTGCACAGAAAGATGCTCGCATAAAATTGAAAAGAAGAAAAAGAGAGTTTTTGAAATTGAACAATGAGTTACTAAGCTTCTATCCACCATACTGAGAAGTGCTGGAAATCTGGCGAATGATGAGATGCCTGAATTCAAAGGCATTGCTGGGAATAAGAGAAAAGTTTATTATCAATACTATGGATACCAGAGATGAGATAGCATCAAAAAGCAATGCACAAAAAGTAGAAAACCAGAACGAAGTAAAGACTAAGAAAATATTGACTATTTGAGTAAAAGTGGAGATATAATTCAATCCCGCATCACTAGTTTAGAACGACGCTAGCTCTCTGTATTTTCACAATTGTCTACCTGTGATCTAATATTTGTTTCCTCTATTAACTTTCTGTCCAAAATTTTGAAATCTCATGGCTAGTTGACTAAATTAATTTGAATCAATAAATTTCAAAGTTTTGTGAAATTGCAATTCCGTAGAAAATCTCTGCGTAGCTTTTGTGCCACCTTTTAAAACTAACAGATTTCTAGTCTTGTTCGGAATGACTGAAAACTAACCTTTATTTTGAAAATTGTTGATTGGATCACGGTATTTAGTTTAACTATACATCTTTATGGGCTTGATTGATTCTAATCAGCAAGCTTCTCTTTGTTTATGTGCCAGTTCGAGATTATTGATGTTGTCTTGCATTTAAACCCTTAAACATTCAACCTAGCGAAAGTAATTACTGAAAGTTAATTAATTGCGATTGAAAAAACTTGAAATTTCCAAAGATAATGCGGATTTTTGGGAGTGCAATTGCTTTAGGTTATATTGATAATGAGTAGATCGTCTTTTTGTTTAAAAATATTCAAAGGTAGTGTTGTTTTCTTTATACTTGAATGCACTGTAAATTCTTATTTTTACAAACGTTTTGAACAGAACCTATTCACGCGTGAATTAAATATTGATCATGTTACATTTCAAATTAATTAATTCTTTTCCTAGAGGTTTTATGCGTGCAAGTGCTATACCAGATAGGGATCAAACTAAATTTCCAACTTATTTGCAAAGAAAGATCTATATGAATCCGACTCGATAATTATTAATATCCTGAGACGGACAGTTAACATGTTCCCAGGATATTAATAATTAAATGACGTTATTTTATATTACTATCATGAGGCCCAACTGTGTATTTTATGAATTGTAACCGGATTCCGCACTAAGCCGAAAACAGATTTGTCGCGGAGTCCGTAATGTTGCTAGTTTTTTATCTTTGCTATTTCGGATTCCACGACCAAAAAGCTAAAACACTTTTACTCCAAAATGCTCCAAAAACAGGCGATTTTGCGGAATTCGTAACAAAGTCTGCGGAGCCTGAACAGTCTGTGCAGGTCCGTTTGAGTTTTTAATGTGAACATTTTTTTTCGGCTAAACGGGTGTCTGTTCAGGTATTGCCGGCTTTGTTGCCGCTTTTTAAATTTTACCTAGTTGCTTATTTAGCATTCAAAAGTCATGTTTTTCTTAGAAAGAAGTTTCTTTAAAACAAAATCAGTGTCGTCGGAACATTCTGTGCTTTTGAACAGCAACCAGCTATCATTATCGCCCTTGCTGGCAAGGATTGTGGTTCGAATCCGGCGCGGGCCTGTTTTTTTGCAATCTGCGTAATTTTTGTAATTTTCCGGACCGTCTGCTTACTTTTGTCGGCTTAGGTCCCTTAACCCGATTTTTTGAAGCTTCAGCTTTCTTCTACTTTTTTCCTACTTTTTTACTCAGCGTAAGCAAATAAATGTTCTCAATTATTTGTTGACCGTTTGGTACCTACTTTTTTCTCAGCGTAAGAAAATAAATGTTCTCAATTATTTGTTGACAGTTTTTCAATTTTATATTGGTTTAATTTTTCTTGATATCATTATTTCTTTGAATTCCGTTTTGAAAATAGAATAGGTATAATAAAATGTATTTTGAGATTTGTTTTTTTTTCTTCCGTCAGTTTTCATAAAAATGGAAGGAAAAGCTATTCCCATGTGAATCTGCAATTTTTGACTTTCACTTTTCACCTCAAACGGCATTCTACAAATTTTTGTACCAGTGAGTTAAATCTTTGACCCATGGTTTTGGACAATTTTCGTGTTCTCGAAAATTTTGTGCCAAATCTGAGTGAAAGGGTTCAATTACAAGAACGTGTTTTGAGAAAGTCTCCTGCATAGACTGCTACGCCCTAGTTTTTGCAGAAGAGGTGTTATGACCTTAGAAAGTTTCCAGTCTTTTAGAATTTGCCAAATCTGAGATTGAGAATTTTATCGAAAGAACTTTTTCGAGGTTTTTTTTTCGAGTCGCCTTCATTCGATGAAGAGTTTCCGCCTTACATCATGTAAAGTTTGCAGATTTTTGCCCGTTTTTGGACTTTTTTTTACTTTTCTCGAAAGCTAACTTGCCAAGATAGAGATAAAAGGTTTAATTGGAAAATTTATTTCTCTTTTAAGCAGCTACGCACTAGTTTCTTGAAGAATTTAAATTTTAGATTTGGAAAAAAATAATGTTTTATTTTAGACCGTTTTTCGTAGACTGTCCAAAGCTGCCATATGCGATATTAAGTGTTCAATTCAAATAAAGTTATAAAATTTTCTCTATATAGCGGCCTCGCCCAATTTCAATAGAAACGCATTGTTGATTTTAGGAAAAATTTTTGTTTAAAATTTTGTATCTGAATGAAGATTTTTCGGTTTTATCGAAAACTACGGTTCCACATCTTGGGATAGAGGGTTCAATCGAGAAAACAGGCTAGACAGGTATCCTCTGCATAAGTAAATTTTTCCCATTTTGTCAAAGAATTTGCTTTGGACTGGAGAAAATTTTGACCTTTGACAATTTTTTCGACTGTTCAATTTGCAAAAACGACCGTGCCAATTTGAAATAAAAACATTAATCGATTGTAGATTTTTCAATCTACCGTGAAAGATGGGACCTTCTTGCTTTTAATTGGAATCTTGGTAAATATTTTGACACGTTTTGAAAATAAAGCTTTAGCTTCTCTACATTTTTTGTATGTTATCAAAGAGGTACCTCCAGCGTTAGCTGCGTTCCTAGATTTTAACTTTTGTTGAGCAGTCATGGCACAGATACTGGGATGTAAGTCAAGTAATCTCGAAATCTGAGGTGCGATTCCGGCATTTAGCAGATTCTTTATTGGCTTTATCTTCACTTTTTTGCTACTATTTGGTCCTTAGTTTTTTTGCCCTTTTCTCGCTCATGCTTGTAAAGTGCAATTTCGTGTCTGTGTAATATGTTCTTTGTTGTGAATTACAAATTATCATTCTAAAGTTAAAAATAGCTTTATCATTTTTGTAATGAATGCAATGGTGACATCTCCGTCTGAAAAGATGATTTTGACTCATTAAAAAGAAACCATACAGGCTACGTTCATTCAGCGATGGATTTGCTTGCGCACAAACCAGAAAAAATTGTACTAAAAGTTTTGAAACCAAACCTGGAAAATCTCTTGAAAATCGTTTGGCAATGAAGCTACTGATTATCAACATTGACTGAAATTTTGAGAAGCGCTGAACTTGGGAAATTTTTTAGTTTACAATTTTGCAGATATTTACTGATGAGCACTACGTACATTTGGACAAAGCTTTCTGAATTTATTATCAAAGACAAAGACTAGAGTAGACAACTTTTGAATGTCATGAACATACGTTTTTAGCCTCTTCACTGAAATTTTTCTGCTCTTCGATGGATGAGTTAACGAATTCGTTTTCATGCCTTTACTTGCTAGAAGAAGTGAATTGCGATCGGGTACTGGACTTTTTCCCGGACTCGTTCTTTGTTTTCTTGATTAAGTATCATGAGGGTTTCTTCGGGCACCTTGTTTGATTGTTTTGGCTTATTTTCCAAAGCATGTAATTTTTTCTTGTATAAATTGTTTACAGTTGTTCTGATATTTGTAAATTTACCAAACCGGATTGTGAACATCTGAGTTTGAAAGTCTTTATTTAATTTTTTCGGCCGAAGGGTGCGATCAAATTTCGTCTGCTTATTGGCTGCTCTATAATTGGAAGCAGGGGCGGATCTAGGATTTTCTCGAGGGGGGGGCGGATTTTCAAAAAAATTTTGAAAATTTTCGTCGACTTTTTTTTTAGGTCGACCAAATTGATTTTCCGAGCTCTCCCAAATCTCTAAAAAGATCCTGTTCTAGTCAAATTTTCCGCACCGTAGGCAAAATTTTGTAAAAAACAGGCCAAAAAGGCGTTTTTAGGCACTTTTTGGAAAATTTTGACCAAAAAATCGCGTTTTTTTGGCGCGCGCTCCCCCCTCAAAATAAGTATATATTGGCGACTTTAGAAAAATTTTAGGGTCCGTCGCCATATATGGATATCTCACAATAGTACGAAGGGGGGACCCTTTGGGTTGGTAGGGGGTCGAACCCCTGAGGGGGGGTGGCAGCTGCGCTCTAGAAATATTAAACGTTTCCTATTTGAAGAGAAAGACAATTATTGGTCAAAACTGGAGGTTGATGAATTCCATCATTAGTTTACAGTTAGTTTCCATTATATGACGACAATCAAAAATTTTGACGATCATGTTAAATTTAAGTTTCTGTTGAAGCCGCCGTACATTTAATTCACTGAAAGTTTGGCCTGCCAGTGAAATAGACGCAATTGCTAAACAAACATCAAATTGGTAAAACTTACCAACAAGAACTGAGTCTTTTTGTTCAAAGATTCAATATTTTGTGTAAACTGTTTCTCTTGTTATAATTCAAGAAATAACACAAAACTGGAAGGGCTTAAAACTCAATTTTCATGAGTTTTATAGCTGCAGTGCTGGTTGAACATCAAGTAAAAATAAATTCAAAAAACAACTTGCGAGAGAATTGAGCTGGCTTTTCTGCTAGGGGATTTACTTACCGCCAATCAAAAGCAAGATGACGAAAGTTGTATAAAATCAGGATTTCTTCACACCACAAAGTTTTTCTCAGACAGATATTTTCAACCCACACCATAACAGTGCTGGACAGTATATTAAGTCGAAGAATACTCAATATAGATGCTGGGCTAAAAAATTTATAGGAAATTTATTGCGAGCTTATCTAGTCCTCTTTGATGTTATAGAGCAAAATAACTAATAAGGACAGGTCATGGTGATTCTTAGATTGAGCGTATTTCCACACAAAATGTGCCAGTTGGTTCTTTAAAAAATTCAGGATTCTAAATCTACCTCCAGCAAAAAGCTAGTTTTAATTCTTACCAGATAGTTTGAAGAAACTTGAGTTGCTTAACTGACTTTACTTTATTGAATGCAAATCGCAGAGTTTTTTCAAGCAGTGATTTTGAACCAAATATCATAACAGTGCTGGCCTGGTCCGGTATCTTTGCAGTAAAGAAAAAGTAAAACTGTGAGTTGAAAAAAAAATCGTTCTCTGGCATGATCGAATTAATTGATCTGGCTCTTCAGGAAAATACGTTATGGGCCGCTTTGCCATTTAACTTCGTTGTCCCATAGTTTTTGCCTGGACTCAATATATGAAAGTAAAGATTACTAATTAAGTCTAAAGGCAAGCCATGGTAAATCTTAGTTTTATCTTAATTCCATAAATTGTGTGACATGCGGTTCTCTAAATATTCAGGCTTCTGAATGTAATAACAACAAAAAGTTAGCATGAATTTTTGTCAGAACATTTGCAGAAACTTGATACTTGCAGAAACTATTTTTTTGTACGTTCCCTTGGAACTAGAAAATCATAAATTGAATAGTTTCTAGCCTATAATCTCCGCTTTCGCTAATTTTTTTTGTAGAAACTTGGCTAAGTAAGGAAAATGAAATAGAGCAAGACTGCTCGTACCAGGGCGAAGCCCTGAATGTTCCGACAGCTTTTTAATGTTTATGGAGCAGTAATAACATTTAGGAAATTAAATGAAATAAAACGAAATGAACGTTTTTTTTCTCTAAAATTTGATTTTTTTTTAAATGAAAATCATCCTCCACACGCCAAAATCATCC